TGGTCTACTATTTTGGAGTCATTTTACTTCCCTTTAAGAAGTAGACTGGGTCAACTGAAACCTCAGTCATTTTACTTCCCATATGTTGGATATTCCTTTTTATATCTTTAATCACCCTCCACCTTTTTAGGAAGAGGTGGACGATGATAAGAGATTGCCCTTGATCACATTACTTCCCATATGTGTTATTTGATGTTTTTGCAATGATTATTGTTTCAATTCAAAAAATATTGAATCCTCCTTCCCATTCTTCTATTTTCCTAATAGAAATGTTGGTCTCCCTTTTGATCAATGTCAAAAACATAATAAAAAATCCCTTATATATGTTTGTTTACCTGATAAAAAATATATATATAATTTGTCCTTGATCACATTACTTCAACTGGATGCCATCTTCTATCTGACAATTTTTGTTTGTAGAATCTGCTGTAAAAATTGCAAAAGGGGTGCAAAGTGTATCAGGAGTTTAAATCCTAGCCAAGGACATGTGGTTTCTTTCTTCCCTTATCTCGATGTTTTACACTCCAGTCAAGATGAACAGGTAATAGAACTTGACACAATTATTTATTGATAATAGACCATTTTGCAAAATTTAACTAAAAGCAATAATAATCCAAATCCTGCATTTCTTATGCTGTAAACACTAGTTGTATAAATAAGTTGGTGAAAATGTATCATAAGATCTAGTGGTCAGTCACAACTTGCACTTTACAAACTAGCATTAGGAGGGAACGCGACACATAAATATTCATTAAATATAGCGAGCATATTAAATATATAGGACTGACAAGGCAGAATTTTTTTTTTTTGGACATATTTCACAATTCATGTCATTTACATAATTCAAGAAGATATTTTTTCCGGTTCTAAATATAAGACTTGTTTTGTAATGTAATTTATAATATAAAATAGATTTATATTTAGGACCGGGGAAGTATTAAATAATTTATTTTTTATTTTGTCCCTGTTAAAGCACTCGTTAGTGGTCAAATAATATTTATTTAAAGAGTATTTATTAATAAGTCTACAATATTATAGACTTTTCAAATATTAAGTTGTTCACAAAACAAGCACACCAGAGAGTTAAGAAAATTATGTTAGAAAAATGTTTGAATCTACAAGTGGTCCATTATCATTTACATTAAAAACCACATTTTTATTATCATTTATATTGTATAGGTAATAGAGCAACCCCACAAAATAGGTTAGTGATGAAAAGAATGAAAAGAAAGTATAATTCCACTTCTGGGACCACATTTTCATTTTCATTGCATTATTTCATTTATGGTCAGTCTTATAAGCCATAAATAGATAATATAACTCAAAAGATTAAATCATGGCAAGATTGGAAATTTTGTGTGATTTTTGGCCATCAAAATAAAGGAAATTTTGTGTGATTTTTGGCTATGAAAATAACAAAAAGATCAACAGATTTTTCATTAATGACTATTTTTATTTTGCGTTTTGCCTAGTATATTGAAGTTTTTCCTGGCATTATTTGCAAAACTTACTACGAATGTTGATGATATGACGAAGGAAGAGATGTTAAACATGTTAAGATTAATGATTTTTTGGATAACTGCAAATATTAATATATTAAATTGTAGGAATTGCAACCATGAGATTGAAAGCTAAGATATAGCCAATATTTCATGAGTATTTTTTGCTGCTGCTGTTGATTCTTCTAACTTATTTAGGAAACTGGAGCTTAGAAAATTTAATTGTGAAAAATAAATCCATATGACTAATATTAATTATGAAGTTACTTTTTTTCCTTTAATAAAAAGCACTCATCAATTCTCCTAAAACATATAGGTACATGGCATTGACTTTTCAAATTTAAGTTGTACCAAAAGAAGTTGATGCAACAAAAAAGAAAAAAAAATCACATTAGCGATCCATAATCATATTAAGGCAATGCTTTTATTATCCTTAAATTATGTAGGTCATAGAGTAATTCCAAAATGTATATTAGTGATGAGAATAAATTGTCACTGTAAGAAGTGTAATTTTACTTATCGAATCACATTTTCAGTTTTATTGTATTAGTTTAATAAGAGAGAATACTTTCAAAAATGGGTTAACGACAAGACATCAAAGAAACAAACAAATATATGTAAAAAATCTTTGGAAATAAAAAAAATATTGGCATGCAAGAAGTCAAATTTGTATTTTATATATCACATACGAATGATCTTATTAAAAAAAGAATCTCCTTGTGAATGATAAAAGCAACAGCTAGATTTATTACTCATATTGGTAATGATTGGTGACTTTTTCAAATCTTTAAAATTGTATGAGCAATGATCATTTTTAAGTTAAAGCAAAACTTGAAGAAAATTTTAGAGATTCTTTAATTCTTTATCCAAATATAAAATATAAAATAATCAATATGAATATTAGCTAGTTAGGTTTCCCGGAAAGAAGAAAAACACACACGCACACACCAAATTTTACGCTTGAAGAAAGATCAAATTAAGAAAGCATCTCATAAAGTAACACTAAAAAAAAAAAAAAATTTGAAAACAAAGGTGTGCATACTTGATGAGTCTAAAAGCAAAAAACCAGGCCCAGTAGATCAAGCATTAAGTGTCATGTCCTTGGATCGTAGGTGAGCCCAACCCTTTTTCTAAAATTTTGTTAAAAAAAATATTGCATAAATAGTTTTAATTTGAAATTTAAAGTAACACTCATTTAATCTTTCTGAAAAGAGAAATTCAGTAAATGACGATACATTCAACGTTAGATTATTTTACTTAATGGCAAAAAAATGTTCAACATATGATAAAGACAACATATAATCTACTCTAAATCCTGGAAGGTTATGCCACCAAACTCTTTTTAGGCATGTTCTCATAGACCAACATCCTACTAGTCTTTGATCAGATGCTCTTGAGAGCCTCTTCACTGCAATTTCCTGTCTATCTTGCAATTCTCTCTGTAAGAACATGTTATGAAAAAGCAGTTACTTCATAAATATTATTTGAAAAGATTTTGAGCTTCACGTGATTAAATTACTTTGTAAACAAAACGACAAAGCCACATCATCCAAACTTATTATCATAATTGAAGTTGTATCATGCCAGTTGAAATGATTCCAAAATCAAAGTGTCAGTTCCTCTAAATCGGTTAATTTCATGTCTTCAGTTTGGTTTGCACCTTGGTTTGTTAGATGTAATCCTACTTTGTTCCACTGTTTTCTTTCCTTCTAGCTGAGTTAAAACATAAAGTGAAAGAAATGAATGAAAGAAAGACAGTTAGTTAGTTAGGAGAAACAGAACATTCTGCTGTGTTCACCAGAAGGTCCAGCAGTACACTACCAAACAAATATGCAGAAAAAAATGATAGTTAATTTACTGCCCTTGTAACTATAATGACTACTTTCAACTCCTTCTCTTCATCTGTATCCATAGCAGTACATAATTTAGAATCTATATACTGACAAGTTGAGAAATAAACTTAGCAAGAAATATCATTATATTAAACTTTTATCGAAATGTTGTATCTGCCATGACTACTTTCAACTCCTTCCCTTCAGAATGGGCATGGTAGATATAACGATCCGCTCTTCCACTTGAGAATCTTACAACGTCATTTAAGTTTCCAATCCAAAGACATGCTGCCAATAGCAGCATCATATGCGTATGCTGTACAATTGTACTTATTTAAGCATTAAATGCTGCATCTGTCCTGAGAAACAAATGACTGATAGCAAAATCTGGCACATTTGTCATTGGCAGTTTCAATAACCTCTTTATCTTGATTCAGCACAAGAGTCTTGTCCTCAGATATTGCAAGAATCCCGGATAAATCTCAGATGATTCCTACAGAGCGATTTGTTGGATTTTAAGAGTTGAAGAGTCCAAACTCAAATGCACCATTGGCAGAGTTTACAGTTTCAGAATCTCTGATGAATTGAGGCTCTCTAATGATGTCCAAGGCAATGCTGAAATCTACACAAAAGCCAGAAAGTACAAGAACAACAGGTAATAAGTTTTCAATTGAATTAATTCCCATCATTTGAAAGAATGCTCCTTAATTGCAGAAGCTTCATATGCAAAACCAAAGGGACCTATAAGGTTATTATATTTGCAGGTAAAAGATTAATCTGTTTGTTATTTAAGAAGTCATAATTTTTATTCTTCTTACGAAGCGCTACTTTGAAGACTGCTTTTTGTCACTATGCTAGTTTACCTCTTTTAATCTTTTTGTCCAAAGTACTCCCTCCTTTCTATACGCCTTCATTGCAATGCATATAAACACACTCCTGCATGTATAAATATTGCTTCAGTGATCCGTGAATGACTGTTTGAGGCAGCAAAACATAGCAATTTTTTTATATTTTTAGTTTCTTATATATATATATATATAGAACAAAGTATTGAAGCTCAATCCAGGAATCCCTTGCCAATGCTTTATGTACTATTCTTCAAAAGCTGGTATGAGAAGTTTTTTTGGATCATTGCCAAAACGTCGTAATATTGAATCCTCTTTCTCGTTTATCTATTTTCCTAATGAAAATATTGGCCTCCCTTTTCTATTCCCTCTTTATGTTTCCTTGCCTGATCCACATTACTTTAACTGTATGCCATCTTCTATTTGACCAACATCTGACAATTTGTGTTTGTAATATGAATCGTTGTAAAAATTGCAAAGGGATGCAATGTATATCAAGAGTTTGAATCCTAGCCAAGGGTATTAGCCAAAAAGGTCCAATCAATGAAAATACTTGTGTGGGGGGCGCGCTTATATTCTCCTTTCACAACTTCTCATCAACATGTGAATTCTTTCATCCCTTATTTCTTCTAATATGTTTTACAGTCTTGTCAAGATGAACAGGTGATAGAACTTGCACAGTTCTTATTGATAACAGACCAGTTTGCAAATTTAACTGAAAGAAATAATCATCTAATCCTACACACGTTAGGTGCATTTCTTATGCTGTAACACTAGCAAGGTAAATAAGTTCTTGAAAAATATATCAATAGACAAAGTGCACAGAACAAACACAAATCACATCATGATTTTACAAACTAGCATTCGAAGGAGGGAACATGACACATAAATATCCATTAAATATTGCGAACACATTAAATATTTAGGACTGCACGGCAGAAAATTTTTTCACTAGAAACAAGGTTTATGCCTACCCTGTTGAAGATGTTGAAAATATGTCTGATATATCTTAGATCTTCCAAATGAAACAGAAACATAAAAAATCCTATCTATCTCGCCTCAAACTTTGAGATAGTTACATTATTGATGGAACATAAGACACCATTATTTGGAGTTTTCTTTGCAGTACAAGGCATAGTTTGTCTAAGGATGAATGCAGGTTGGCTAGGAGGAGAAATATCCACAATCTCACTTTGAAGCATTGACATTATAGAGGCCATGGTGGGCCTGTCTTTTGCAAGTTCTTGCACACATAGAAGACCTATATGTATGCACTTCAACATATCCTTGCCAAAGCTTGGATCATATATTTGCGGATCAATTAGAGGTATAACATTGCCAACGATCCATAACTTCCATGCCTAAAATAATTGACAGAAAAGAAGTATAACTGTTATAATTTAATGTTTTTCCCGAAGAAGGCATTCTTGAGTTATTTTATGAAAGAAAGGTACAAATTGGAGAGGCTTACAAATCCTAAAAGTGTGAAAGATTCCGCATCTTCATAAAAGCTGGTATTCTGTTTTTTTCTTCCACTAATAATCTCTAGCAACAAAATGCCAAAGCTAAAGACATCAGACTTCTCTGAATAGAGTCCTTCTGTTGCATATTCTGGAGGAATGTAGCCACTGCATTTAAACAATACATCTCTAAGCTCTCAATATGTCATTGATATTATTTTCTTGGGCAAAGGAAAAGGAATACTTACTATGTTCCAACAATTCTTTTAGTGTTTGCTTCACCTTCACCACCTCCAAAAGTTTAGCTAGCCCAAAATCTGATATCTTTGGATTCATTCCTTCATCTAATAAGATGTTACTTGGCTTCAAATCCCTATGTATGATGCTTAATCTTGAATCTCTGTGGAGATAGAGCAGTCCTCTAGCTATTCCTTCAATTATGTTGAAGCGCTTCCCCCATCGGTCGTTTTGAGTATTAATCTGAAAGAAAAATGTATTGGATCGGAAAACTTATTGTAAGAAAAATTGATGAAGCAAAACTTGTGAAGTGTAGAAACATCCAATTTAGTAAACCACCATGTGCACAAAAGTATACACTAACCGAAAGATATGTGCATCCAAACTTTTGTTTGGCATGAATTCATAAACCAATATCTCTTCTTCTCCTTCAACGCAACACCCAAGAAGTGTAACTAGGTTTTGATGTTGAAGCTTAGAAATCAAGTCCACTTCATTGATAAATTCTTCCATACCCTGTCTAGATGATCTAGATAATCTTTTTATAGCAATGTCCTGTCCATCTTTCAAACTTTCCCTACAATAAAATGATTGCAAAAAGCTAATTGCTATGTTTTGAAAGATGATAAACCGGACCAAAACCACCCTGTCCAAGTTTATTTGGTATGTCAAAGTTGTTTGTTGCAGTTGCTAACTTTCTAAAATCGAACAATGATTGCTCTTGAATATGAGTTGCCTCAGGGGTCGTTATCCTCTTGCTGCTGTGAATTTGTGTATGCATTTCCCCTGTGTTCTACCCATTTTTTTCCACATTATTTCATTCAAAACATATGTTGCTATTCTAATACCAGGTTACTATAGATAATTAACCATAAGTTCTCATATAATCTGTATCGAGATGATGAAACTCAAATGCTCTATAGATTGGCTATGATTTACGTGTCCTTTCTAGATGAAAAAAGCGCTCTCTCTGTTTCTCTCTGTCTCTTAGTCTCCCATTCCCCCTCCCTTCCTCTATATAATGTGAAAGAAAAAGAGAGATAAACTAGAAAGGAGAAATATGACTTCAGTTTTCAAAGAAGGATTTATCCACCTCAGCATTTGTTAAATATAAGTTAAAAATTAACAATAATTCTTCTTCCCCGAAAAAAATATTATTAGATTTTGTGTAGAATTACTTTTTCATTGACTAGCTTGTTTTTATAACTGTATGCTTTTGTGTTTTCATATATTTTTGTCATGCAGGTGCTCAAAAATCAGAAACAAAATCATTGATCCCTTGAATGAGGTGTTGCAATGAAACTGAAACTCACCCTTTGCTTTGAAACTTTTTTCCATACAAAATATCCAAAGGCAGTAATGAGAACTATTCCCATCAAAACTGATATTAGAATAGCTGTTGTCATTTCCTCCGGTCTATACCTGTATCAAGGGAAGAACATTCAGATAAATCTTCATTTTTTGATGACATAAGTTCAAAACTATACCTTGTACATTATCATTAAAAGAGTTAAAAAAGAATGAAGTTTCCCAGTATTTATTGTCAAATTCAGTCATAAATTCATAAATTTGAACATCTTATTTTTGCGATCAAGCACACCTAGTTATAATTCTAATGAAGAACCTAACAATATAAACTGCAAATAAACTAAGAGGTGCCAGTATTTACATGGATATTAAATGACATAATATGTGAAAGGCATAAGATAAAGTAGATAAATTGCTTGAATTAAATTATAGTCTCCCCAAAGTTAGAAGGTAGCACTTCTGCATGATCTGGTAGTTTATCCTCTCAGCTTAAAAAACCCATCTGTCTTGCTAGCTTGAGAACCATTTTTGTCTCTCACACTGAAGTACTTTTCTTCTCATGCATCCACTGGTCCAGTTCTGCCTTGCCCATTCTTTCTTTGTTCTTTGGTTCAAACCCTCTCAAGCAGCTACAGATTGGTGAATTAAGTGAATTGCAGATCCCGGATGGGCCACATATGCCATAAACATCACACTTAGATAAGGACTTTGCCTATTAGGTTCCCAAATATTGTCCTGGAAATTCCAAATCATTGGATTCACTATACCTTGAGAATCTACTATAGTAGTCACTAAGCTTGACTTGTCTGTGAGATCATAAGATAG